ATGGTTTTGACGCTCACGCACGATCGCGGTCAAGAGCCTTTATGCAATCTCTCCTTGCCCTGAAACCCGTCCACCAAACCCTTACAAGCATCTGAAAAATCTAGCAGCCCTGGACTAAAGCATCCCCTTCGCTGGCGCATCACTCAAGCATGATGAAAAGCTTGAAGCCTAAGAAGCCTAGGATAGCGCGCCATTCACTTCCATTCGTCTATGTAGTAGTGAATACCGGGGGCTGCCACGAATGGAGGGTTGCCTGAAGCGGCAGGTTTTGACCGTGAAGCCTGAAAGTAAAACAACAGTTAATTAGTTAATGTAGGGCTGGCACAAAACAATACGAATCACGTCAGTGGTCACAGCAAAGGCACTAGGACTAGCTGCAGCACTGATCAGCGACACGACATTAAGACGGCGTCAATTGTGACAGCACGCAATCATGGTGGCAGGTCTAGAAAACGGGACAAGCCAAGAACTTGTACGGGTCAAGGGGGTGTGGATATTTCTGGGGCATGTAGCGGTTTTCTTGTGGTCTTAGACCGAGATTGACATGGGAGTTGAGGCTCTGGGGCTCTGAAACGGGGCAAGCAGCATCAATCTCCTTTTGCCAAACGGGATTTGCAGGGTTTTGGTGTTTCGGGGGTCATAGAACTTGCTATTGGCGAATGGCTCTGGAGACTTCCCATCCTTGGCATGAGTCTAGGCTGCGCGTAGGCGCTTCAACTTCCTTGCCAGAACCATCCCAAAAGCCGCGGCCCCCGCAGGCACTCCGAAGTTTCGCAGACATGCAAAGGTGCCGCCACTGAGCCCCGAGCGTATTCTGGCTATGAAGTCGTACATGTTCTTCCTAAGCTCCGCAGCGCATCGGTTCATGTAAGCACATCGGGGTCATAGATGGTACTCGCGGCCCTTGCACTTCTACTTGCAGTCTATCCCATAACCCAGATCTTTTTCAGGTAGACTCAGGTAGACCTAGTTCAAACCCATCAAATAGTACATGCACGGGACCCTAAGCTGCCGGAGTTCATCGCTACATCCTTGCTTGGAAGAGGATGATCGGCAGTATACCTTGGCAGACAGTGAGCGTTTGCTTTCGTGGCAGGATGCCTTCGTTGATCCTAAACCCCATATTCTGCGGGACTTCAATTGCTGGACGTTTGGTCTGCTTGGGGAACCTTGTCCGCGGTCCTGATACATCAACTACCAATCCTAAATCAAAACTGCATGAATCTTAGATCACAACCTGAATCTAACTAAGTTCTAAGCCTGAAGCTCCCAACTTTGTATCCTGGTGCTACAGCAGCACTGACGAGCTTCCCTCGTGAGCATCGCAGTCGTAGGAGGCCCGCGGCGGACAAGGAAACAAAGGGGCTGGATTGACGTACTGCAACGTGCCTGGTTTCTCTCTCAGCGCAAACCGTTGCCCAACCACAACCCTTGAACCTGTTGTGGATTCCTACTCATCCCCATGCGGTCCGTGTCTTTACATATATAATCCCACAGTACCCATTGTAAACAGGACCTCCAGGAATGGCAAGATGCTGTTTTGGCTCCTTATTGAGATCTTCAATATACCTGCTGAACTTAACTTAATACTACGCCCCGCCCCTAAACAACTTTCTACTCTCTCTGTCTAGCCAGTGCCCGACCGCACAACATCCCACTGCAACCCCTACATGCCCGAAACCTGAAACCATTGCCGCCCTGAGCCTGAGCTTTGTCCAAATTGAGTTTAAATCATGGTCAACAGCTAGGGGGTTCTCAATGTGCGTGTAAACACAATCAACACAGGCGATAGGGATCGCGTTCGTGGAGCACATCCGGATCATTCTGCAAAACTCGCACAGAAGGCCCGTATGCAAACTTTCAACTTGAGACACGATGCCCTAAACTGAACCCTTGATGACCCTGATCCAGCTTGCAGCTTGGCCGCATCACCCAATCGTGGAACATGCCCTCATGAAGCCAGCCTTCGATAGGCACCTTCTTGATCTCATGTACGCCGTATACAAGTTTTTAAACACATGTAGGAAGATAAGGCTCTTGTTGTTCGCATAGCTTTGCAGGCGGTGTGTGTGTGTGTGTGTGTGGGCACTATAAAGTTCAAGGGATCACGTTCACACTTTCGGTGCTAGGGTGTGCTTACGGCTTGCCAGGAGTCAACTTTCAGGGGGGCCAAGGGTTGGCATTAGGAGCTGACAGAGGCTCGGGTTGTGGCTTGTAGGGGTTTGCGGCGCCCTTCCACCCCCAGATAACTCGAAACAGTGCAGGTATCTTCTGAGTTTAGACGCCTGAAATTCCAAGCCCCGAATACAACTCTGTTGTAGAGGACTGCAGTCTGCGGGTTCAGTTTGATGTAAGTTGGCGTGAGCAATATCAGAAATGGCAACAGCATCCGGCCGCCTTGCTCCGGAGACGCTCAGCAAAGTCCAGGACCTCTACCAGAAAATGCAAAACTCACACGGTTCGGATTCGAGATTAAGGCCTGGAAGCTTGAATTCGCTCGACATCCTTTACTGGTTTTGATGGTCTACTCTAAACTCAATTTTTACGGACAGCGTGGGTCGCGTTGCAAAGGGGCCTTCTCTTCACGCACAGCACTTTCTTCTGTTCCCACAGAGAAATCATCTGGCCGCGCACCAGCGTGATAAATTTTGGGCCCTTTGCCTAGGGCCCTGTTCAGAAGGAAGAACCCGAAGTGGTCCTTGTACAAAGACGTTGAAGCTCTGCGACACTCTTGAATCCCGACATAAGCCCTTCACGTGGCAAGGCTTCGGGGATTTTGCTTACCTGTGGCTTTAACTCAATGGGTCTAAAGTTGGGGCCAGGATTCGGCATTCCGATAGCCGGGAATGAAAATGCACGGTGAGATTGAGGGTAGCGCGCTCGCACGGATTGGTTGCTGTCAAGATGAAAGTCCGCACTAGCGAAGCGCTAGGGACCGGTTAGGAATCTGGAAGCTGGAACTTCACACCAAAACTCAGAATTCCGTTTACAAGCTGGCTCTCAAGGATGTCACCCTGCACACTAGCCCCTAACAGGAATCCCACACACTCAACTTTTGGGCTCTACCTTCTGACTTCATGGCTTTTGCAAACATGCAGGCAGCCTCGCCAACCAGGGTTTCCGCGGCTCCGGCACAAATCCATATCTGGGCAGGCATGGGCGGGTGTGCGTAGCCGCAATATGTAGGGATTAGCATCTTTCACTAGATAGGCTATGTGTTGAGAAACCAAGCAAACCTTCCCGAAGCTTGAAGACCTTAACATCAAGATAATTAGGCCCAAACCAAAACCCTACACCCCAAACGCAAACCTGAAAAATCGGGCCAGGGATTTCTGAACCCTAAACCTGTCCTTAAAGCATCGCCATCTGCTGCCCAGGTACAGGCGTCTGCGCCTGGGCCTGAATCCACGAGAACTCAAGAGTTTCACGCTGTGTGAGTCTAACTGCTGAGGTTTGAGTTTTGCGCCCAGGGATAGGCTTGAGTTACAAGGCCACGAGTTCGGGGTCCGGATTTCAAGTGAAGGCGTGAGGCCTAGCTTGCCGGATGGAAGACGGGCTAAGCCCGTACCCTCAGAGTAAGCCGACGACTTCCACGCAAGGTCTTCCTCGTGGAAAAACTCCAACTTCTGAATCCCAAAACTCTTTATCCTACCCCATCCACATCTTCCCCCAGCAAATATATGGAACACCGCAACTGCAGGCCCTCTTCGAGAGGACCATAAGCTTTGTAGAAGATTGTCTGGGATTGAATCTACTTTCTGGTTGTTAGTAGGGAATAAGGGAACATTATCCCTATATCATCCCTATATAATAAATTCCCATATTCCCTACTAACCACCAATAAGTTTACTGGGGGGCAGCTCAGGCTCCTCCTCCTACAACCCAACACTACTTGGAGGGTCAGGGGGACGTAGCACATAGGCCACATAGGTTAATAATGGGGGTAAGTGGGTTACTATATGGTTTATAGGGGTTCTAGGTATACTTACTAAGTCCTCATGACCCTCCATCAAGCCTGGACTCTAGACCTTCAGCCCCGGGCCGGGCAGAAACTCATGGAATAGGCTGCTGGGGTAAATTGTACTTGTACTATAGCTATAGAAGGGTTGTGGTAAAGGAAGAAAATCGGCAATTTTTCAGGCTTCTACAGGAGCACCGGATGCATAACCCATGTGAATCCAGGCGACCAGCTTGGCAACAAGCTCTGGCCCACTACGAGCAAGCCAGTAGGGGCTGAAGACCGGGTCCTGCAGGGTCAAAAGGGGGGGTAACATTTTTGGGAGGTTTAGGGCTTTGAGGGCTTTAGGCTTCAGGGGTGAGCAGCTTGACCTACCGGCCAAAACCTGCGGGGTTGAGCTGCTTATCCTAAAACTGATGACTCGTGTGAGGTGCTGATGTAGGGATTTACTGCCATTGTTCAAGGCTTTGGGCATCTTAAGATAAGGGAACCCCAAATATAGACCCCAATATACAATAGATCCTTATTATGGGGACTTCTAGAAGGGTAATTTGGGGAAATCCATTTCACACAATCCAGGTTTCCCTGGCAACCCCCTACTCCCCCTGAACTGACACATGGAAACCTCTCTACACCCCCCACAGACCCAACAGGACGGTGGTCTCTGTAGGACTCCCTGTAGGCTTTTATATAAGTTTTGGAGGAGGTAAGCAAAGGAAAATGCCCAGCGTGCAGCCCCTTCAATGTCCAGGAGTTTTGCAGATCTAAATCTAAATTCTGAAGATGTCGGAAGTCTTAACGATAAACGTTAACTGCTGCTCTATCCCCTCAATTCTGGCACGTGCATAGAAAAGAACTCAAGATGGATTTGATCGAGAATCCCCGTCCTTGAACAGGAATCCTCTGACCAATTCTAAAAGTCCGAAGCCAAACCCAAACTCTGATCCTAAATCCTTAAATTACCAGTTCTTGTTGCAACTGCAAGCATACTGGATTTGTCCTGACTATTTAACTATTTCTACGACCTTCAGCAACAGGCAAGTCAACACCTCGAGCGTTCCCCAAAATTTCGAGGGACCTTCAGAAGTGCCGCCGATCCAGTATACGTCAAGCCCATACCTTTCTCATTCTCTGCAGGATTGCGTTGGGGCCGTGAGGTTCAAGGGTGCGAACGCTAGGCCTTAGTGTTAGTTGCGTTGAACCAATAAAGCTCATGAAGTGCCTGCCCTGCGTGAGGGAACTCCTTCTTGCACTTCTGAGGCTGGCCTTCCGTATGGAACAAACAATTTTGATTCATGGTGCTGCTAGCCCTCCAAGTGAAAAGGTAGGCGTCAGAGTATCAGAACCTGAAAGACTACCTGCAGCCGGCGATGCCGCGGAAAGATGCGCGGTTGTCATCCGCATGCTCCCGGAAAGCAATATCGCCCGTGTGCCCTTCCTTTGCATAGGCGTTGCTCACCTGAGCCGTAGGCGGTGACTCTTGAAGCTCCTACCCCATACCCTGCTCGTTTTGGGTGCTTGCATTTTTTTCTGCCTTTTGGAAGTCTTGCCATGATTTTGGGGTTGAAGCCTCTGGCTCCAAAAAGTCTTCATATACTTTATGTGGCCACTGCACTATTGCTCTATGTGGCCACACAAGCCGGTCATAGCTCTGCTGAGGCACATAGGTGTGGCTTCCACAGCTCAGATCAAGCCACGGGGAGATCCTAAGTTAGAGCATCAAGATCCAGAGTTGAAGCCCAAAACCTATTGAGGGTTAATGGCATTCAGGGCTTAGAGTGTAAGGTCTTCGACAGAACAACGCAAACCCTGAAGGCTGGAAGTGGCTAGAGTGCAAACTGGTCACGAGCAAGTAGAATGCCGCCAAATGGGAGGGGCCTTGCTTCAATCTGAGGATGCAAAATTCCAAAAGCGACCTTCGGTTTGAGGCACCTTCTCCAGCTATTATTACCACTACCACGCCTTCAGGTGTTTCGTATTCTTTTTAAGGATAATTGAGGACCATGCGGGTCTATCATTGGGAACTGTTGCAGCTCCTGTCTTACAACCCAGAGTCAGGATCAATCCGCAGATTGACGCCACGAGCTCCTGGTCATCTAGCGACAGCGCGCGCAGAACAATTGAAAGCGCCTCCAGGCAAGAGCCAAGTTTGCATCAATGGAGCTGCAAATAAATATGAATACTGGAAGAATGCCCCAGATTACGCCCAGACCCCAACCCATAGCACCAGGATCTAAACATGGACATTTGGGGTCCACATCTGGCTTGATGCAGTTTGGCTGATCATGCTGAAGTCCGCAGCGGTGTGTTCCCCTGCCGACCACAAAGAGGCAACGTTTGAAATGAGGGTTCTCCCAGAACCGCTCACAGAGTAGTAGGGCACGATATTTGAAGACCATAAAGAAGAGAAGTAACGCTGCCTTGCAGACGTGGCCATCCACTAAGACACAACTAAGTACTGCATCCCACAAGGCTGTCCCACAAAGTGGCACAAGGTTTCCGATGGTCGGCCGGCCTGTGCGGCACCTGCGGAATCACCGGCAATGATTACCTTCGCAGCGCTTTTGCGATCCATTTTCCAAGGGTAGGCATCCGTTGGGCGTAGGCGTAGAGAATCAGCCAGAACCCAGCACTTCTTCAAATGCACAGGGAAATCTTTAGGAACTCCGGTGTGGAGGAAGAAATCCTTTGTAGCTGCAACAGGAATCTAATCCCTGCCGCAGACCACGCTTGGCCAACTCTAGTTGTGGTTCTTTGTTGAGCTTTCTGAGCTCTTGTGCAACAGAAGCTTGCTGACGGACGCAGACCGGAATCCAAACCAAAGACACCTGACCCTGCATTCCATATTCTGAACCTCTTCATCTCAACAATAAAGCCCCAAAACTTCGAGCACACCAACACTCTATTCACATTCTGAAGCACAGGTTATTGAACCAATAAACACTGTTTGAGTCTGAAACTGCACCAGCCCACAAACGCACTCAACCAATTGTAGCACCGTTACCACACGCGCGTTTTTGCCAAGGGGGGACAGTACTGTACTCAAGTATGTTGCCCTTTGTCATGCGCCGCAGCCTGGATTCATATGTACCTGCTGGCAGAGTAAGCCTTACATCATGAATCCTACATGTCACGACAGAACCCATAATCCTGGCACTCTCCAAAATCAGCGTCACTCTCCGCCTTGGGGGCTGTCGTCCTTCTTTCTTTTGTCACCGGGTCGAAGCGCAGTAGCCAGCGAAAGCCTTAGCTATGATTAAACAAGCTAGAGGCAGAGCCTGCGGTTTAGGTTGTGCTCGAAGCTTTTGAAGTTCCGGGGAGTCCGAGTTGCTCCGTAGAGATCCGGAATACAAGTAGGACCTGTGGATTTCTTAATGTCGAACTTACCAAGGTCTGCTAGAAATTGAAACTTCCTAACTTCAACCGCAAACCGCCGACCATTACGTCATGAGGCTTTGATTCCAAAAGCCCATCTCTAAAATCCAGAACGCTAGAAAAGGCCCCTCGCAGCCCTAAAATTAGACCAAACAACATTTTCGCCATGCGCACTCAGGCTTCCCTACTATGAAGCAGCCGCAACATTGAAAAGCTAAACGAGCAAGTGGCCCCTCTGAAAGGCTCAATCATGTTCTTTGTATTCCATCTTTTACGAGTGGATAGACACTTTTAATAAAACTCCTGAGGAAGATCCGAGGACCCTTGAGAAGCACATCGATGATCTCCGGGGCCTTGAAGGGACGACTCTCCCCAGACAGAGGGTGATCGGGGCACACCACAGGGAGGCCTGAGTCAGGGCATTATAGAAAGTTCATGGGCTGAGGGTGTTGGGTTCTGGATGATCTGGGTCTGAAGCTTGCTTTGGGCTGAGGGCTCTGAGGCCTAGGTCCTAGGCTCTGCTGAAGCTTCGAAGCTCGAGTCTTTGCCCGCAGGAATTCTGGCTGAGGGGTTTGAGGTCAGGCATCCGGCTTTTGGGGCGCTAGGCTTCAGTTCTGCAAACTCATGAGCTGGCGCAGCGCGCAGAATCAAGCCAAAGGAAGAGGTGAACATCCACACCCCGAAGCCAGGGATGCCCCAACTTGAGTACGAGGTTCTGCACAGGATTTGCTAGCAGTCCGCGCAAGACAATGGAGGCGCTTATGGCTTATAGTCATAAAATAAATGGGTAGAATACAGAACTTGGGAAACTATAGAACACTTCATAGTCTGCACCACACCGTGTAGCTCTAGGAGTCAGCAGTCTGCCTAGATTGATCAAAGTTTAGGACCAGGGTGGCGATGCCAGCTGGTGGGGATCCTGTTTATCTTTTGACACTTCTGCAATTGCAATTTCGGTGGCGGGTGGGGGGTTCTTCTCTACCCTACAGCCTCTGAAAGGCGGCCCTTGTACCCAGGAGGCTCCATCATTGCCACCCAACTCTCCGCGCCTGAACCTGCTGCTATTCGTGAGCAGAGGCTGTCATATCCGTCTTCAAGCGGCGCGCCATACTCGAAGCCACCACCATGCACAAAGTATATGCCTGACAGTCGCCAGCCGCTTGGTTTTTGTGGATGTTTTGGAAGGATTGTTAAGCATGCTCGAGTGGCGAGAAGCCACAAGGCGGACAAACTGCTCTTGCTCCTAAACCTGCAACCGATACTAAAACAGAATCTTGAGCATACACTGCTTGCCTTCGGCCCAAATGGATTCCTAATAGCGACCTCGTGACAATGTGTATCACTCTGGACACTGGCGGGTAGGAAAGCGATCGCACCTCCTCGACCAGTGTCCTGCAATCTTCAGTCAGCACATCCCGAGCGGGCATCCATGAGCGTCTGCTGCTTGACATGGAGGCCTCACCTAGTTCCTTCTGAAATCATTCAACGGTCTTCTTTCATTCTGGCATGGGTCTAAGTTACAGTTAGAGGTAAACATTCAAGAGCTGTGGGTCGTTACGGCCTAGAGGCGTAGAGCCAGACTGGCGTAGAGAGTTTGTGCAAGGACCATGCGAGCCACCTGCACATCTGCAAAGGCTGGTACGGCTGGTATTTACCTCGAAAACTAGCTACGGGAACGTTGTACATGGCCTCTCCCACGCGAACGTCAAACACAAAAGCCAAGATGTTTGAACCTACGCATCGAAAGTTTACATCTCCGCATCTTGGCGACTTGGCGCCCAATGGTGCGCTCTAGGCGACTATAGAGCGCAACGCTTCATTGCCGCGCGCAGTGCCTGCTGGTTGTCAGGCGGGAACGCAAGCACATGTCTCCAAAGTCATGCGGAAGACGCGAAAGAGGACACGTATCGGCTCTTCTCCAATCTATTTTTTGCACTAAAACCCCTCGAACGACCGGCGGCTCCTCGTTCACTTCGATACTAGACTCATGCCAGCTTCGGCAATGGAATAGGGCGTTTCAGGATTTCAAAACAAATCAGCTTAGGCCTCCATGTCCAGGAACATGTGATCAGGGGATGACGAAACAGCACCTCACCTGTCTCTATTCACCATGCCCGGTCCGATACCGAGTCCATCCACGTAGGCCACTCAGCTTGGCCCATGTCCTCCATATCTGGATAGAGTCCTGGGAGCTGAAGTTTTTGGGATTTTGGTATGGTATCAGGATTCTCTGGTTGTGGATTTGTAGTAAGATGTTAGGCCTCAAGGCTAGTGGTGTCCTCCATGTCGGTGGCCCTCATGTCAGGACGGTCCTGCATTTGATCACCTCTCCTTTGCGGAGGCGATCTCTAAAAAACACCTCATCCGAAAGTCGCTTGACCTCGGGACCCTCACAAAAATCCTTTGATCCCATTAACCCTACCCACAAGCCTTCCAAGCCCTGAGCTCCCTCTCAGTTTGGATTTAGACCCCTAGGAACCCGCCTGCTTCCGGAAGTTCCAGCTTCCGCACAGTCGGCTCGAGGCCACGCTGCAGATGGTTGTCGTCTTTGCCATCCTGCGGGGTCTGATCTCTTCAGCCCCTAAGGTGCTTGACACCGCTAGGCCCTAAACACTAAACTCCACAAAACAAACCCCCTACGGCCCTAAACCCAACTTGCAAAGCGTGAAACCCCCTGATCCTAAGCTGAGGCACTGCAAAAGCATCCGCCAAGGCAGCCAGCGCTGGCTGTTCTCGTTGCCGGGCTTCCTTTGTTTTACCTGGGCAGCGCTGGTGGGGCCAGCGAAGGTTTTGAAACAAAACTTCAAGGCACTTCAGGTACTTGTGTACCCTAGCTACATGGAAGCTGCGCATCCATTGTTGGGCTTCAGCTACGGAAGCTCAACCTTTCGGACGCCAGGTCATCCACATCTTCTACCATCTTCAAATGCTTGGCTTCTGGGAAGGTAGACGTTCAGGGCTTACGTATGATTATGGGCGTTCGAAAAATTTTTTGGCATCAACAGAAACATATGGGGTATTTCCGAAAACAGGACGATACGTGTTCGCATATTACGGGCAACTACCATCTAGCCCCCCAAAGGGCCATTGCCTGCATGATCAGAGAGATACCCAAAGAAACATCCACCTATTGGAAAACTGGTTGATTCCCAGATGCTTCCAGAATTTCCATTGTCTGACGCAGCAACCGTCACATCAGCATCGGCAGGAGGACTCTTGCCGCTCAGCTGCTCCAGAAGTGCTGACACCTGTTTGGAGCCGCGCCGAGCTTAAGGTTGTGGGGTTTAACATGGCCCTTGTAAAGTAGCCTGTGCCATCATAGGGCTTCAGAACAACTCCCAACTGCATATTTGGCATAGGTGATAATGCAGCCCTGATAGAACTTGCCATTTCCATCCTTCAACCGGCCCGGAGTAAGCGCAACAAGCTTATTGCTTCCGGAGCTTCTGGAAAAAGGTTTCATCAGTACTGCCATGGTTGAGCCGATACGATCAACTTCATTCACGTATGAACAAAGCATCCCTCATTGCAATTCGAAATGTTTCTACTTGGGGCCTACTTTGTTCCAAGAAAATACAAAACAGAGAGCTCGGGTCAGGGTCTTACTGAACAACAAAGACATAAAAAGAAAATTCAAGGCTTGAGGCAGACCGTTGCGGAAGAAAAGTTCGCGAGCGGCATCAGCTGGGGTGCTTCGTAGGTAGGTGACTGTTCTGTGTTTTGCAGCATGGCTCGGCTAATGTGAAATGTTACCTCATAGAAATCTCTGATGACTGTAAAGATCTGACACACATTAAGTTATAGTTTGTTACCAAGGCGTATCATGGGGAAGGGCCTTTTCATGAGACTAAGCTAAGTCGCATGGACATTTGAAGGTGGCTTCTGGCATTAAGTCTCTTTCAACGAATCCTAACTAACATCCTGAGACCTGTGCCTCCAACACTGGACTCCACACCCCAAACATAGCCCAGACGCCGTCTGGCCCTTCGTGGCGCTTGCATCTTCCGGCTGATCCGGTTCCGTGGCTGGAGATTCAGGAGAGTCGGGAGGCGGGGTAACCGTCTCCCCTTCAATCCTGGGTTTTGCGAGTCAGGGGGGCTACCATTTGTCAAAATTCAATGGGGCAACACTGGGGTCTATACGATAGCGGGTGTACGTAAGAGTTCTCAACACAGTGGGCACGTTGGATGATCCTTGGGATACACAAGGAGTGCAGCAGCGGGGAATGCGTCCCTCTTCAGTGTTGTGAATGGATTTTCTCGAGCACGGTCATATTGCTTTATATGGGGCTCTACAGACTTTATGCAAGGATGGAAAGAACTAGCGGAGGGGGTTATAGAGATTCTGTGATGCAGGGGCCTAAATACGTACCAATGTCACAGTGAGGTCATTTAAGATAACCTTTGCTATCATTCTACAAAGAAACTAGAACTATAATACCAGTAATAATTAGGCCTTGGGCCCTGTATTAATGTCAGACTGGGTCTCGGGATCTACCCTGCAATTCCTTACAGGGAGTTTGCTCCAAAGCTGTGATCAAAGCCTTGAGCCACACACCCCAAAACACTGTCAAACACGCACGTTTGCGCAGTATGATCTGCAGATCCTGCAACAAAAGCAAGAGATCTTGCAAACAGACCCCTAACTTTCAAACTTGAGCCTGGACAATCAATATGAAAAACTTGCACCCCAAAAATCTACACGTAATCCCAACATCTCAACTGCAAGTACGTGAAGCCCCTAAGCCGAAACCCTTCAAAGTTGACGGCCTGGATCAAACATAAAGGCCTGGAGTCGGGCTTGCCACCTCCACCGGAGAAGTTGCCTGGGTTGCTGCTAAGGAACTTAAATTCAGTTACTATAACATGGGTAGAGAGAAAATGAGGGGGGTTCCTTACAACCGTAACCCTAAACCCTTTATACACTATATACCCTATATACCTTATACACCCGTATAGTAGTTCATGTACCCTATGTACCCTCATAGTAACTTACTTCATATTCCCTAAGAGCAACCCAGTTGCAGTTGCTGAAGAAGCTTCGCTTTCGTGGCGCGTCTCCTCCGAGGTGTCCTCACTGGCTCTATCTTCGGGTAAAAGGTTGAGGTTTAAGGTTAAGGGTTTTAGGTTTCCTTTTTCCTTCGCAGGAATGCCGTCTCAGCAGGTTTAAGGTTTAGGGTTTAGCCTTTAAGGTTTAGCCTTTAAGCTTCAGGTTTAGAGAGGTACTATTTGGCCACCACATGGGCGTTAGCTTCATCTTTTCGCGGACTCCAATCATGTTCGGTGTCCAAGGGCCTCGCAGCTTTAACTAGATCTTGATCTACCTCCCACACAAGCCCTAAACCGGGCATAGTCGAAACTCCGGTCCCAACACCACTCCATTGCTCAAGTCCCAACCCCTGACTCGCATTCACTGACGAAAAATCCTTTAGCCCTCCTACCGACTCCTCCCTAAACCCCTCAAAGATAATTAACGCTAGAATTCTGCTCCCCAACATGGAGGTGTTGCCGAAAAGTGGCTCAACTGATATACGCCTTTAACGAAAACGGCCTCCTAGCCCTGATTTTTTCCTCAGCCATAAGCCAGTGAGCGTCGGGTTCCGTCTGTTCAGGAGCCGGGGTGGCAAGCAAATTCTGGCCGAGGACCTGTGCTTTTGTAGGTTAATTTGGGGGTTCAGGGCTGCCAAGGCATAGAAGTTCTGACGTGTCAACTCCGATTTTTTTCTTTAGCAGTGGCCCAGTCAGGATGAACCCGGGGCGTAGGTGGTGATCTAAAAGAAGCCTGCGCCAGTGTATTCTCTGAAGGTTTAGCACATCACATGGCGGCTGTCTCTTCATCAAGTGCATGCAGTGTGCCAACAATTTATCTCCAGGGAAAGCAGCCTGTTTCCATTACTGCCCCCCCAAACATCCGTCAGCACACGCCTCTGACGGACTCCAGCAAAACAAAAAAACTTTGATAAAGCACTTTGTTATCGGCCGCTCACATCACAATCTTGCCCAAATCTAGCCCAGGATCTTGCATGGGATGAACTGGCTGGGTCGGCTGCGCCACGGGCGTAGGCTGCGCAGCATTCACTATGGGCCTGGGTTTTGAGAGCGAAAGCTCTAGGATTGAGGTGTCTCAACCCATTGGTCATGATTAACATGCCTAGCAGTATCATCTACACTGCTCCCTACAGCTACACATTGTATTCTTAGACCGTTGACGGTGGATAACGAGACTTGGCGTACCCGGCACCAGGCCAATTTCACAAGATGTAACTGGAGAATCTAACCCATCTGTGCAGTTCAACAAATGGAAAAGAAGGCCGATTCCGCCGGCTACGATAAGTTGATTGTGTACGCAGATAACTTGTACAGGCTTCAACTTTCATTCCAACATGATACATCGAGCTTCGTCGCTGTCGTAGGCGGCGGCGCTTGCATTGGCTGCTTCGGTGCGATGGGAACTGGCTGGGGCCTTGTGAAGTGGTTTTGGGACTTAACGCTCAAAAATTTGATTCAGCAGATTCACACCTGAAGATTTGATCTGGGCTTTCGGGTTCAAAGTTGCGGTTCACGGCAGTTCGCTGTCAGAAGTGGGGTGCAAGGAGATTTGCTTGAGATGGATGAGTGTGAGTGTTTACCCAATAGGCACCAACTTATGTACTTGATCCATCCCTTTTTTCCGACAGGCCAAGCCCTCCCTTAGACCCCACTTCCCCAACCATCTGCCGCTATCAGGCGCTGACCTCTGTTATCCAGTTATGCGGAATAGGGCCGATACTGAGGGTCTGGGAGTTGGCTTGAGAGCCTAGCCTGAGTGGTTTTCGGTTGGAGGCTTGGAAAATTAGAGTTCTGGCGTAGGCTTGGGATCTATGAGTCCATGACGACTCTGAGGACATGACAAAGAGTCAAAAACCACCGCTTCAGATGCAAGAAGGCCGTCAACCTAGCCATGCCAGTAATGCTAATTCTCAAGGGCCGGCCACTTGTACCATCCGTGCTCCCCGTACAATTTCTCAAGTATGTTTTTCAGGAGCACAGAAGTCTCATCCGCCAACTATGAGCTCCGAAGCCGCAAGCCAGCCAACACCTCCCGCAAGCCCTGAGCACATGTCTTCCCTGACCTCCCGGCCTCACAGGTACGCTCTTGGCGCCCGCAGGATGTGGTGCTGCTCCAGGCACTACCTTGGAGCTTTTCTTGTGTTGATTACCTTTGGAAATTCTACGTAGAGGTATTGTTTGGCTAATTCGCATCTCCCGTCTCCAGGACGATTCCATTCTCCCGCTTCAGGGTTGGTGTGTTTCGGATCTGGCAGTGTTCAAGCATGGAGCCAGCAGAGTCCCCCCATATGGATCCCTGACAGCCTTCGGAGTTTAGTCTTTTATTGTGGCCAGGGCTCCAACTGGTTGAGCTGATAAACAAACGGTTTTGGAGTTTAGGGAATGAAGCTCTTGCTTTTGTGGGGATGGGGCATCGGTCAGTGCAGGTCTGGGTTCTGTCGCCCAACGGCAGCTCACCTCGGGGTCGTACCAGGTAATCTTGGCAATTCCTCTATGTAGTGTTCCCCTTGCTGCCTCCCCTGCTGTTGCTAAGTGCGAGGGCAAATATTGAGAAGAGTGCTAGAGGAGACCAAGGAAGGATTGTGACTAGAGAAAATTTAAGCCAATTTAGGCTTCTGTCCTCCGAGAATACAATTGCTCCAGAGATCACAGGCTTCTGCACTTCACTGCGGCCGAACCTCATGGGGCCCCGTGATTAACAAGGCTCCCCTTTCCAGTTGAGATACAGTATCCGGTAAGGCACTACGGCTGAAACTAAAGACCTCGAGTGCAGGCCCAATGAAATGCTAAAATTCAGAGCGGCACATCAAGTGTCAGAAAATGCTGCTCCAAGGTTATTCATGGCAAGCTATGGACCCTCGCTCTTACGGAGGAGCATCCTGGATACTCACTAGGCGGAAACCCGAAAGCCTTAGATCCTCAAATCTGATCCCTAGGCTGCCGACTTTTTATTTTAAACACCTCCAATCCACTAATGGAGACCGCGGCGCCGTCCATCGCGTTGGGCGGGTAACCGCCACAGGGCTCTGAGGGTGAACACCCGGAGCTGGAACCTATAGGAGCTTCAAAAAGGATTCCGGACACTTACAGCTAGGCTAGGTGGGCACCCATACGGGCATTGTGGGCTCAGGTCAAACCTACCACCCAAACCTACCAACCTAGAACTGCCTTGGATAGGAGAGTGTAGTCCTTTGTAGTCCTTGAGGAGTTGGTTAGGTTTGGGTGCTTATCAGGCATTTCAGGCCTTTATATGGGAGGCCACAAGAAGGGGTCCCCTTTACCCCCCCAATACAAATCCCTATTCCTGGACTTCCAAAATAGGGACCCCTAACTTGCGGAATGCCCCACAGGATGTGAGGGTGATTTCAGGGTAGGCTGACGTTCACGCAATTGTTTTTAAAGAATTTGTGGCTGAGGGCTTTGCCCAAGAGAGAAATTGAGGCCTTTGGGTGATCTCGTCTTCTTCAGGTGAGTAAAATATAGGAAACGTTATGCTTCCATTCCATGGCTTTGAATTCTATCGACGTTTCGATGACTGAAAGCTAAGTCTTACACCACGAGTTAATTTGATGAGCTCTTCATTGGATGATTGGGCCTGCGGAGTCGAGAAAGGCTGTCGCCCTCGTTCTCTTCATCAGTCTCTTAAATTCCCTCCTCAGCCCGATGACTGTCCTGTGCCTACCTGGAGCCCGGACTCGTTGTCCCAAACTCCTTGCTAACTTCCACCCTACGCTCCTAGACCTTCACCCTAAACCCTAAGCCCGATTCAAACCCCCAAAAATCCTTGCCCCCAACTCCCTCAGTTCCTAAATCCCAAATCCCTACATTGCTTCACGCTGAAACCTTGAGTTCCCAGACCAAATAACCCCCCATCACCCCAAAACTTCTGCGCCCTGCTGTCTTTAGACCCGCAAATCTAGAACCTAGCTGAGGTTTAGGGGAGGCCTACTATCCCTATTTAATCCGCATGTATCCCTACCAGTAGAGTCCCTAAAGGTACCTCTCTTGTGTTCCCAGATCCAGTTACTGGTTCTTAACCGGGATTATACAATCTTATCCTTGCTGAGAACCAGTAAGAACACCACTCATCGGAGGTGCTGGACGAGGCCCCCCAGGAGGGACCTGCCCTGGCAGGGGCGCCCGGATGAAATACCCAGGAACCTCTGTGAATGGCGATCGATACGGGGGTTATGTGGGGATGTGTGTGTACATATATATATATGCACATATGCATACATCATATATATATATACATACACTCATTCAGAACAGGAAGTGAAGGGAGGATGGAAGCTCCTGGGTTGAAAGCGTGTAATTCAAAGTTTAGGGGCCTAAATAAATCATTAGAATAGCGTTCGGGGGGGTGCTTTATTCTAGGAGTATGTAAGGCTTAATTGCGAAGGAACACTATTGCAATTCGTCTTGTACATGAGATCATTGGGGATCTTTCAGGTTTCGTGTTTAGGATTGAGGGTTTTGGGGCCGTGTTTTTCTTTAAGAGGCGCCAGTGGGGTGAGCATGTCAGATTTTGGTTTTGGGATTTAAGGCTAGAGACTTGGACTGAGGACTTAACCGGGGCTCAGGATGTTGGGCTTAGCGGTAGGCCATTTCAAGATGCTGGGGTTCTACATCCTCAAGCTATACCTCCAAGCTGCTTCCCTCTGAAGACCCAAACAAAGGCTACTGAGATGTTCAGGAGCTCCCCAAAGATCTGCCAAGTCAGGCCCAAGGGCAGGAACAGGGGCTTGTCCGGGCCGTACCTGCCTTGGTGAAATTCAGGGGGTGCTATAAGAACTGGGGGCCCAGACATGGGGGTTTTGATGTTGGGGATCTTCTGGCCGTTGGGGAAGTTGGGGATCAGGCTTTAGGGTTCAGGGTCTGAGATGTGGGATGGCATTCCATACTCCATCCATCACTATTTGACTTACTAGCGGTTAGCAGGGAATAAGGAATATGATCCCTATGTAATCCCCATATAATAGAGTCCCTTATGCCTACTAAGTCCAAGTAAGTTGAAGGACGTTTCAGGTGGGGAGCTTCCAGGTGGGTACCCATACAAAGGGCTTCTGCACGGCTTTTGTGGTGTGGCTAGAGGTATATACAGGCTATGTACGCCTAATAGGGGATAAACTACCCACCTAAAAGTTGCTTCTCGAACCTTCGACCTTGAGAAGGGTTCCCCAGCAACGAGTCGGGAATAATGAAGGTACAGTCGCGTCTAGTCTTTGGCTGCTTGTGTAGGGACCACAGCCTGAGAACAGTATTGTGTGTACATGGGGGGATCGAGGAGACAGCTACTCAACGACTCCTAATAGCTATGTTGGATTTTGTCTTAGAATCAAGAACCCCTTGCAATGAAATCCAGCTGCACGGGGCGGACCACTGTTGAAGTGAAACGTGGAACAGGCTGCCCCTGTCCAGGAGGCGACTGAAGCGAGAATGTGGACATGGCTTCTATGATTCTATGGGGTTTAGGGATGCTGGTCGGACTTGGGATTCCCCAGGGGGACATAGGATCAGAATTGGGCAGGAGTTACAGGCTTACAACTGCAGGCCAAATGAAGGCTTATACATCTGAGGTTTGAGAAGGCTGAATCGGGGAAGGGGTCTCTTGAAGTGCGACACAAACAACAAAGTCAGAGCTCTTTGTATGTAGGGTGTAGCCTACCAGTCCAGCTCAAACCTTAATGCTGAACTCTGCGCATGATTGGCGTGTTAGTGCAAGACCAGTGGAGGAACATACTATACTTTGAGCCTCAACGTCACGGCGTCCCATCATCAGCTGGCAAGAAGTGACAGAGTGGGTCTTCAGCAAAGAGGTGTTTCAGCTATAGTAAAACCATGGTCTCCTTCGTAACGCCCTGTCGCATCCACAAAGCCCTCATATTGACTGTGGTATATATATATATATTTAGAGCAGGGCCCGGACATTTCCACTGGCAGGCTTTTAGGCAGTGCCCTACCATGATGGAAGCGCAGTATGCTAGTAAGGCCTTGCTGCTAATCCGTGCTCTAGGTTAATAAAACTCTCTAGATTTAAAGAAAATTCTCAGGGCCGAAAATGGGGTTCAAAGACTACTTTAAAGGCAGAGGCAGTTTGGGCCTTTAACCTCCTAGACTTATAGAAAATTATCCCCAACCCTAAGAGAATAAGGGTCCGATTTCAATCAGATTTCAAATGGATTTTATTTGAATTTATATTGATTTTGCTTGGACCCCAATTGGGGTGCCGTGGACGTCATTTACAATGAAAATCTCCCTCTGCCATCTGGGGCCCCCGTAATAGTAATAATTGGGGGGAGGGGGGGGGGGCGCCCTCATGAATCAAGAGCACGGATTACGGGAGAGCCACGTTGGAAGTTGTGGATTGCAGCATCGGGCTAAGTGATACAATTGAACTCAGCATGTGGTTTCTGTTCTTTTTCACCCTCACCCCTCAACGTCTGGAAACGAGCAACCAGTCGTGTTGCATCCGCACAACTCTGACATTTCCAACATGCCTTAGCCAGTTCCTCCTGCCAAAGTTAACGTATTTCAGGGAGGTGTGGTGAATCCCTAAACCACGAACTCTCAATGCTGATGGCCCTCTGCTGTATCCGGGTAAAAGTGTCACGCAGATGCCTCACGACTTGGTTGGAAGCATCACGGGGTGGCAATCTTTGTTCAACCATGCCCCGAAGGAGCAGTGATGTTCATAGCCTGCGATGAAGTTGCCAATCCTTGAGATGGAACAGCTGAAAAATCTCCTGGGCCCCCACGGTGGAGGTTTCTGGTGAGGCTTACAAATGAATGGCATTCATTGCGCGAAAGACTCGGTGAAACACCGCTGCTCTTGTGAAAACTTATTTGGCTAATCTTTTGTACAAGCAAATGCAGATTTCCAGCACTTGAGCTCCCACTCTTTTCAAGAATGGAACAATAATCGAGGAAATCCGCAAATGCGTCCGTCAGGCTGTTTACACCTTGCCAGCAAGGACCACCAAGATTCCAATCAGTCAGACATTGACTATTGAGCAAAATGTACCAAGTACATTCGGGAGACCTTCCGGCAGAAACATCATATGGCGGCTTCCATAAATAGGGGACCCCAATATAGACCACCATATATTGCAATCCTTATTCATTTGACGGACCCGCGATATTCATTTGACGGACCCGCGAAGGGACCTATAATTTCCGGAAACCCCTGTATTGATACGGCACCCAAGACTGCCACCTGCACAAACCTAAACTATGACTGTTTGCACGGAGGCCATGTATCATGTGGGGCCAAAAGCTGGTAAAGTAATTAGCCGGTGTATCGTATGCTAAAATACCACCCTATTATCCCCTTAAGTAGATAGAATATGGATCTTATTATAATATACCCAAAGCGAAATTCTATCTACTTAAGGGTGACCATAGCTGTATAAGACCATCATGAATTCGAACTTTACTGTTTCTGTCAGCCAAGACTCGAATACAACTTTCTTCCACTTCAAACGGGACCTCAGATAGACATGCAAATGCCGCGTGCGCTACCTGGAGTTTCTTTGGGAGGGACAAGAAAGATGTTCATAAGCAAACAATGTTCATTAATGGTCATTACTAATTGTAGATATTGTAGCTCACAACTGTGCATATGCATAAGCCAAACTGATTGCTGACGATCACCACCACGTCAGCATGTATGTACGCGTTCTGGTTTCTTCAGAGAATCGTTGCTTCGACCCCCATGGCTAAAATCAGCACTCAGGCCCTGAATCTGAGTTGGCCAAAAGTACAGCCCAGTGCCCAGGCTTCAAATGCTCACCCTCGCTCTGCAGTGATGATATCATTCCTGTCATCTGTGGGTCTGGAATGAAGGCGTTCAAGCAACTCATGATAAAACTGCAGGGTAGCAATAATGATGGCACCCGAAGAGCAAAGGTCTACCCCTGCCGGGGGATTCTTCGCTCCTTACAAATTTACAGCCCTTATGGGCAGTACCTCCGTCACCTGGAAAACCCTAAAACCCAAAGCCAAAGCTCGGAACCCTGCAATGCTCAACCCTGCTCCCTCAAACCTGAATACTACTCCCTCATAGCATCTTGAAATTGGCTGAGGTTTGGACTCGAAATCGAAGGACGCCTCTCGTACCAGCCTGGCTCAAGATTTCAGATATTTGAGGATTACGGTTGCAGGCTGAGCCGTTATGCTGCGGATACAAAGACTCTAAGATGTGCTATCTACAGTACTCAACGATGACGCTGGGACTCGGGGCCTTGGGGGTCCCTGATCCTGCTTGCATGACCGTCCACGCACGCTCCCCGCACCGAACTCTTCACCATACAAGCGCTGCATACCTGGCCATACGTCTCCTCACAGGACCAACCTCCGACATTTAGGTTTAAGTTTCGGACTGCTTTAGGACTGAAGGCTTGGCATGGTTCTGGACTTGGCGCGCAAGTGCGCACAGCCACAACATAATCAAGCCTGAAATCCCAGGAAAAAACTTCTAAATGATCCCATCCTTCAACTACATCTCAAACCTCGTGCCTTTGACCACCAAAGCCCTGAACGCTTCAGCCATAGCGAACTCGGACCCTGCCCGTCCTTTACTATAGTGATCTTAGGAATCTGGCCTGCCGTGATATCAGCTATAGTCTAAACTCCTGGCATCCCAGTAGTAAATCTGATAATACTCGACTCCTCTATATAACCCCCTTTAAGGAGTTTAGACTGTGGCTCATATTCTGACGACAACAAACCTTTGCTGAAGTCGTTGGAGCAAGACACACCACCAGAAGTTGCAAACATTGTGGTTCAAACTGGGGATCCCTAAAGGTTAGAATTTAGAACATATACACATACAACACACCAGGCTGTCCTTACGGCAAGGGGTGCAAATTGACCGGCAAACTTTGAAAAAACAAGAGGCTTGCAGCCCCCCACTTAGGCGCGGGCTGCGTCAGCTGTTGCAGGCGCACTTCCGAGATGTACAACGGTCGCGACAGATTGTACCTCAGACAAGGATATGCCTGGAGTATAATTAGGGCTCAGGCTTAGGGCGTAATGCGACCCCACAGTACAGGTGGCTGGAGGATGTAAGACCTTGGGCGGTGGGACAGGGAGGAGTGTGAGTCCTTAGTTGTAGGACAATGGCGGGGTCCTAAGTACACCCAGGACGACGCAGCAGAAGATATCTGGTTCTTGGAGCCCCATGAACTCCTGCCCTTAAATGGTCCCGACTGGTTCTACGTATTCTCACCCTGTGGATCCCTCAGGCAATTGACCTCCACAGCATACCCTGATTCTGGCCGCTACCAAAAGCGGGGTCAAATAAAAGTTCTGGTCCAGGTGAATTGAAAGGCGGCCTGAGGCAAACATCTCCTCAAGACTTGGGGTGGGTCCTTCTGCAACAAGGGACCAGCGTTCTGAGGGTCACTTCGAAAGTATGACTCTAAGAGGACTTGGCAGCTTGAGGTCCGCACTCCTCTTCGCCGTGCCCATCCAGGTAAAGGGAACCCCAACCTTGCCGGATTCGAGTGTATGCATTGCCCTTCCCCTGGCAAACACGAAAGCTCTACCAGAACTCCTCTCCTTTCGCTAATGGCTTTTCTGCGTTCCAGGTTTGCTCGAGCATGCAGCAAAGCACCCGGTCTGAAAAATTAGTGTGGCGGAATGATACACACACAAATATAAATTTCCTGCCCTACTTGATCTGCTGGGGCGCCACGACGGCACAAGACCCCGAGTCCCTGACCCTCTCAACTCCGCGACCCCATCACCCCCCAAAACCCTGCACCTGCAAGAAGCCCATATTGCAACTGAAGTCGGAAGTGTCCGCACTTCGGGAAGCCGTTCCAGTTTCCATAATCAGGGACCCCATTTCTTTAAGATTTCTTCTGGCTTCCGCCGCGCTTCCCCTGACCCTAGAACCCCCTTACGTAAACCCTCTAGACACACTCCAAAGTTAAAGCATTGCCGAGGAGGTTGCAGGTGATGAGCCCATCGGCAACAATGTGCACCAGCCTCAGCATGGGCGGGTGGCCCCTTCAGGCTTCTCAGAGAACTCTGCCAAGACGAGATCCCCTTTTTTGCAGCGGTTGGCCCCTTGCAATCCTGACCCCTCACATCAAGCACCCCTATCCCCTGCTATTCAGTACTCCTTACGGAGTATAAAAACCGCCGGAAGGTTTTAATGCATACTCGAGGGAACCAATGTTTATTTAGTTGTAGCGGAGAATCAAACTATAAAGCCCAGTGGCGAGTTGGAGAGCTGAAGGAAGACGCAGGTCCCAAAGCCACAGATCTGCAGGTGGATGCAAACGGATGCAGTTGGGCACTTCTGCAGGCAAAAGGCAAGAGAATGCAGTTAGTTAAGTTCTACTTAGGGGATACATCTACTGATGCACGAGTGAGGCGTTTACGTTGAAATGCGTTCAGTTTAGGGTACGTAGCAATGGGCACATAACAGCGGCTGATTCGCAACTCCCGAAATGCGTCAAGTGTACAAGCTCAGCTCCAGGCCAGCACTTCCAATCTGCCAAAGCTTCAATTTACCCGCCGACCTCGCCCCGTTCCCCCCCGGCCTGCGCATGCTGGGTCACCTCCCCCAACACCTGCCCTCCCTCGCCCTCTCTTCTGCAGCACCTCAGGCTGTTGCTGTGTCATGGTAACAAGAGTTTCGGTGATGAGGCAAAGGTGATTGTGGTTGGAGATCAGGACCTGGGATTAAATTCCAGGGCGAATGATCTTAGATTTTCAATTTGGGGTGCAGGTGGGTACTGGGGCCTGCTCACTGCCAACAGAGCCGGGCAGCATGGTCCTTCAGTTCTCATGCAGCCTACTTGCTTTCGGTGGCCTCGTTGTAGATGCAACTTGCTGAGCATGTCAGCAGGGTAGCTTTACAGGCATGACAATGCACGGGAACCTTCGCATAACAAAGGAAGCAAACCACAGCCGGGCCCGAAACTCTAAGTCACACAATTTGGCCACAATAACTAAGGTCCTTTGAAGCATCGGTCAGCCCTGTCAGTTCCCCCAGAAACTGAATACCAAACGAAGGCGGTTTCTGTCACTTGGGCCCCGGGCTCTGAGTTGCAACAAAGAAAAGTGCCGCAGATAAGGCAGAGCGTGGGGATGGAACTGAGCGGTCTGACTTTGGGGATTCATGCTTACGGTTAAGGTACGTAGTGTTCGGGAGTCCTACTTGTTACTACATACCCTTCTCACGTTCTGCCAGTGTGCTCCGTGATGACTAGCCGATGTTGATGCTTGTTGCGATGCATTATTATCACGGCCAAGTGATTGCGTAGAACAGAGGCTAGTTGGTTTCAGAACCTCAGAATGTTTTTTCACGAGTTTTAGAAGCTAAAGGCTCAGGGTTGCTGTGCAAACTGAACTCTCGCTGCGTTTTGGCTTGCTGCGTTCTGATTTTGTTCGGCATTCAAAACAATTCTGAAGGCTCAGGCTCTGATATCTCGGGGTATAAGATTGTTGTTGTGGAAGTGGCCGAGACATGCTCCAAAATCATCTCCACGCGTACAAGAAGCTGCCTCACACATGGCAGTTCTTTGCAAATGATAACATATTCAAGAGGGACCACCACTGTGACAGATTTCTCCGTCCAGTCTGAGGCTCGCGCGACGTGGTGTTGCACACCTGCAGAAAGCTTGAACACTCTTGGCTTGCCAGTTTGCAAAGTTCAAGGTTCAGAATCGGTGCGTCACGCGCCAATATAGCCGCAGGGTGGAGGAATTTCACATCCAAGGCTTCGGGTTTCAGATCCTGGCCGAGACGTCCGTAAGGACTAGGGAGTCGAAAGTTCTAGACCCTCCTCTTGGGAAAATCCAAAAGGCAATACAAAAAGTCTCAAAGGGGAATAGTTTGTCCTTTGAATCGCCCCAGCGATGCCTTGCTCCTTCAAGAGCTTGGGGGTTAGTGGCTTCGTGCGTTGTGGAATGCAACTTAGCGTCTAGTGACTTGTGCGGCTGCATCGTGTAGGCATTGGTCTAGGATTCCGAGATCTAATTACGGTCTCTACCTGCCAAAAGATATTGCAACAAAGGCACCAAGTGAAACCTTGAAAAACAAGCTGATCCCTGAATCCTAAGTCCTAAACCCTAAACCCCTAAAGCCTAAACCCAGAGGCGTGGTCGATGATGTAGCAGCGCGTTTGACTTCAAGCAAATGGAATTAGTAACCCCGCACTCTTGCGTGGCGAATACCCTGAAAGCCTGAGAGACCTGAGTGAACAAATACTGAACGAATGGAAATCCGGGGCAGATGTTACGACTTGCCTCACGTCCAAAAGCCTTCCTCTCTTGCGGCTCAAAGGCTAGCAATTAATTAGGGAAACTACTGCACGTTTGATTGCAAACTTCAGGATTTGGAATCACAGCGCGGCCGAGCAAAACACTGCACACAGTCGCCGCCAGGATTAGCAGAAACCACCGCTTTGTGGAAAGAACCCCCGTCGACGCGTTGCACAAGCCGTGAAACCTGATCCTCAGATTCCGGGTTTCCAAAAATTGGGAGTCCCCTTTTAGAGTGTCCCGTTTTGGGGTCCCTGCACAAGGGATCATAGTATCTGAGGGTGGGTAATGGGAACATCCATTTGCTACCCAGCTGATCTGAGGGCATGACGGGACAGCGTGCATGAACAAACCTTGCCATGTACATTCAATCAAGCGCATGTCTACTGAGATGGAAATGTATCTATTTGCTTGAGCTAATTCAGGTCCCCGCTTGACGAAATCTGGCAGGAGGCTATTGGTTCAGATGGTAGCAAAATTGCATGGTATTGTTTTCTGACCCATGCAATTTGCTGAGAGACTTCCAAGGGACTGCCTCAACTGTGAGACTCACACAACGTCTGAATCAACTCAGGAACAAGCAGTGCTGAAGTCGACTGGTGCATGGTTAGTTATCCTCATCCCTTCTTGGAGATTGGTACATGGGGAGGGCCGCAACGGCTGGTCAAAAGCAGGCATAGAAATAGCACTGGTTAACGATCTTGCCTCTACATTGTCGGTACAACAGAAAAAGGGATATGTTCGAACGTGGCAGACCACAGCAACAACAGCAGCACCACGAACAACAAGGACGATGACAATGACACTGCTGTCAGGTAGTACAAGTAGGAAGCAATGCAACAAAAGCAGCAGTAGTTTCTACACGACACACGATGGCCATTCATTCTGCCGTGACGGGGCATGCTGCCACCATGTCAGAGGACGCGACTGTGTGTAAAACTTCTGGTACACCTTGCCAGTCACGACAGGCCTGGTCAGCTGGACCCGTTAGAGCCACGCATTGCTAACTGTGGCCCAAAGTCTGTTCAAGCCCTCAGGAAAATTCTTTGCGTGATCCCTCCTCGGGGTCCGTGTCTTAGAGCGAGCAGCTTAGTAACGCGGGAATGGCTTGGAGTGTTGCAAGTGCCATGATGCTAATCAATCCACTCCCACCTACCAGGTAGGAGGGCGGGGTCTATGAAGAGTGTGTTTTGGGCAGCGGGGGAGGTACGAACTTTGGGGGATGTGGCTCGCCTTATTTTTTTTAGAAGCAGTTGGCTGAGCATGAGTTCTCCTGTTGTAGGGCTTCAGCTTCATGGCGCACTGTGCTCGTCTAGGATTTAGCAGTAAAAGGTTCGCGTCTGACGATTTAGGAAGGCTGTATTATTGCGAGTACGAGGGCCTTGGTCATCATGTTGCAGAGTTCCTGAGCTGCATCCAGCAATCTACGCTGAACAGCTATCCAGACCGTTTGGATCAGAGCTCATCGAAGTCCACCAATCCAAAACCTTGAACTTGAACCTTCAAATCTAGGCAGGCTGAATCCTTTGAAGCTAAAGCCTGATTGCTCCTGACCTGCTGCAGTTTCCTGCACAAGTCTGGGGCCCCTACAAGGAGAGTCGATAAGCCATCTAAGCAACAGACGGAGTTCATGGTGTGTTGTTGTAGTTGTACCAAGCAAGCCAGATTTTCTTATAAGATACGACCAAAAGCAGAATGTAATCTTGCTTTGCATTTGGCTACAAGACTTTTGGGCGGTAGAGATTGGAAAACAGCTTCTAGTTTGTGTTGAACCAGTTTGTGGATCACTTGGATGATCATCACTTGCAGCAGATGTTTGTCATACGCTTGTCATTCTGAATTCGCCTTGTGACCTATCAGTTATTCATCATTCCGAATTCGCCCCATCATTCACTTATCATCTACTTAGGCCACCGCTCATAAGCGCCGCTCATAGTTCCCAACTACGCCTACGCTTGACCTACCTCGCGAGCCTCGCACAATGCTTCCCTAATCTCCCTGAGCGAACGCAGCTTTAGTCGTCGTCGTAGTTGTTGTTGCTGCTGTAGCAGCAGTAGCAGTAGCCCTAACCGAAGCAGTAGTAGCATTTGTCGTGGCATTGTTAGTTGTAGTTGTTGTAGCATCAGCAGCAGCAGCAGTAGCAGCAGCAGCAGCAGTTTTAGCAGTAGCAGTAGTAGCAGGAGCAGCAGCAGAAGTAGTATCAGTAGAAACGGGAATCGTTAGTGTCGTTGTTCCGGGCCCTTGCAAGGAAATGCAGGCGTTTCTCAAATCCAAAAGTTAGCCCAGCATGAAACGAAGGAAGGAATCTAGGCTTCTCTTCGAGTGGAAGAAAGGAAGGCAGGCATCCAGGCTTGTGTTCAGATCCAGGAACGGATTCAGTACGGACTCTCGTAAGCAAGTGCCCTTGAGCCCTTCAAGCCCGGTTCTGTGGGGGGCCAGACCACAAAGTGGAAAACTGGCACTTTTCCTGGACTGCTATCATGCCTTCTGCTTCAAGCATCTTGTTTTTTAATTCATCGTCTTGTTTGTGTTTTCTACTATGTTTATCATGTTCCTTGGTTTTTGTGTAACAGGCCTATGCAAAGGTTGCACGGGCGTTGGTCCTAGTCCGCGCCCACGTGAGTGGCCCTCACCCATTTGACAGCTCACCCCGGCTTTGTGGATTGAGCGATCTTGGCCACATGCTTTAAGCAAGCAAGGCGTGCCTGCACTTCC